AAATATATAAATATATAAAATATATGAAAAAATTGATGTGGGTACTCAAATGAAAGCTCTTGATGAGTGTAACATCGGGATGAGCTTATATCTTTAAAAACGTCAATTGTTAAGAAAGTACAGTGCAATTTAACAAATATCTTGTGAACTATTGACATTTTTTAATAAATAAGCTCACCCCGACAGTACATTCATCGAGACCTTTTGTTTGAGTACCCACATCAATTTTTCATATATTTATATATATTATATATATGTATATATGAAAAATATATCAAAATACATGTGGGTACTCAAATGAAAGCTCTTGATGAGTGCAACATCAGTATGAGCTTATATCTTTAAAAATGTCAATTGTTAAGAAAATACAGTGCAATTTAACAAAAGTCATTATTTAATGAAGCGAAATTTTTGATTATTTATAGTTCACAAGTCACGGCAGTCACATAGGTATACTGCAAGGTTGCTAGTAATTATAATTCTTATAATTTTGTTCTTTGGAAATTTTTATCTGAGGATTGATTTTTTTTAATATCAAAATTTATTATATAAAGTTTAACACACGTTAAAAAATAAATTAATTATCAATTTTTAAAGTTAGTTTGAAAGTCCAAAAGAAAGGAGTTTTAATTTTAATTTGATTCAATTAAACGATAACGACTTAATATCTCAAGTGAAAAGTTTAATACCCTTTTCTAGAAACTTTAAACTAAAAGAAGATCAATGACGTTAACTTTTAAATAACAAAAAAATTTAAATGCATAAAAGTACTCTGACATTTATGCATTTAATTTTTGAGATTAAAAAAAAAGTTTTAGCATAATTCTGCTGACTAAGAATGATTAAACTTTCGGATAAAAAAAAAAATTATGAGTTGTATAATTTATTTCACCGAGTCATGACCATTTTAATAGTCATACTTTTCCTAAATCATTCAATGATAAGCAAATAATTTTATAAGTAATTATATTTAAAAAAAAGTAAATTAAAAATTGAGTCTAGAGACTTTTTTACAATACAATACATATTGATAAAAGTTTATTGAAATAAAGTCTTCAAATAACTTTGTACTATTTTTTAAAAGTAGGTCAGGAAAAAATTTTCATTTTATCTCGGTTGTTTTTAAAGTTTATATTGAAAAAATTTTTCCATTTTTATAATTAACCACTCATTAGCTCGTTCAGGTTTTTATTGATTTAAGCTCATTTTTAATTTTTAGAAAATCGACGACAAATTAGCTAAATCGATAATTGTATTCAAATACGTCGACGACAAAGACGTTTTTCAGAAATTCTACGCCCGAATGCTGGCCAAGAGGTTGATTCATCAGCAATCCCAGTCTATGGACGCGGAAGAGACTATGATCGACCGGCTGAAGCAAACTTGCGGGTATGAATTCACAAATAAACTGCATCGTATGTTCACTGACATGTCGGTGTCGATGGATCTCAACACTAAGTTCACGAGCAGCTTGCGAGAACGGAACGCCGAGAACCAACTGGGAATCGGGTTCGTCGTCTACGTGCTCCAGGCTGGCGCTTGGCCGCTCAGTCTGCCCCCTTCCTTGGGCCCGTTCCACGTTCCACAGCAACTGGAACGCTCCATTCAGGCCTTCGAAAGCTTTTACCACGCCCAGTTCAGTGGCCGCAAGCTCACCTGGCTTCATCCGCTGTGCCAGGGGGAACTTAAGTTCAATTACTTGAGGAAGCCGTACTTAGTTACGGTTCAGACTTACCAGATGGCGTTGCTGTTGCTCTTCGAACAATGCGACTCAATGTCCTGTCGCGAAGCCGCTGCTTCTCTGAGACTGTCTCATGATCAATTGGTGAAGCACGCCGCGAGCTTGGTTGACTGCAAAATTCTCAAGAGGTCTGGCGATGAAGGAGACCTTGAAGAGGACACTGTGCTCATTTTGAATTTAGAGTATTATAATAAGCGCACCAAGTTCAGGGTTACTGGGGCGCTCCAGAAGGACGTACCTGCGGAGATGGAAGCTACCAGGCGAAGTGTTGATGATGATCGCAAGTTGTACATCCAAGCTGCTATTGTTAGAATTTTGAAGAGTCGGAAAATGTTGAGACATAATCAGTTAGTTCAAGAGGTAATTTTTTTTTCTTTATAACATGGGAATTATTATGCTTTTTTTTTAGGTTTTGTTATTGAGATTACATTCTGAAAAGGAATTTTTTATTAATTTGAATGCCCTAGCGGATTCGGTTGTACTGGAAGAATACTCAAAATATCTGATAAATTTCAACATAGCTTCGGTAAAATTGAAAAAAAAAATTTAATTGCTCAGAAAATTACTCAACTTTGATTAAGTGAGAGTGGAGCACTACCGCATTGCGTTATGAGGCGTGCAAAATACCTTAAGGGGTTACATGGGTTTCACCGTTTCAAAAAATCGATTTTTTTAAATGTTTTATTAAATTCTACAACATCTCTAGAATATTGTCCTAAAGTTTCAAATCGATCCGAATAATAGTTTCGGAGATACATTTTTAAAAAGTTGCGCGCTTAGGGCGCTGTTGTATTGTCACTAAAAACTTTAAACGCGTTTTTCTCAAAACTATGTTTTCAAAGACGGTACCCACGATTTCTCGAGAACTACTTAACCGATCTTGATGAAATTTTAGACAGGTCTTCAAGATATAATTTACAAGGTTTTGAACGAAAGATTTTTTTTTTTTTTTTCTTTTTTCAATTACAACTATTTTAAAAAAAATGCCGCAAATTTTAGCCAAATTTTTAATTTTTTTGTAAAAACCTCTGGCAAAAATCCAATTTTCATTTTTTTTTTCCTCCGTTCAAGACCTAGTTTAAAGTCTTAACTAAAGTACATATTTTTTTTTCACTTCAAATAACCCTGCAAGGAGTTCTGCTGATCACGCGAACGCATCTTTTTTTTCCGAGGGCTCATCGGAAATTACGTCACATTAGCAGAGTTTTGAATATTTTTTTTTTTTTTTATTTAATTTCAGTAATTCCTTATTAAACATATATCTTTAAGACAGTAAAAAGTTTGAATAAAATATTTCATTTTTTCTAATTTTCTAAAAAATTTTTAAATGTCGGCTAACTTAATTTTTCATAAATTTCAGTATCATTAAAATGAATGTAAAACTTATAGTGATGAATAAATTTTCTGTTTCAGATACTAGGGCAATCAAAAGTGAAATTTGCTCCAACAATAAGTATGATAAAAAAATGTATTGAAGCACTGATTGACAAACAATACATCGAACGTACTCAAAATAGTGCTGACGAGTATTCATACGTTGCATAATGACGGATAATTTTTTTATTTCAAAATTATTATTATTATTATTTATTATTCATCACAAATCAAATATTGGTTATATTTCTTCTGATCTAACTTTAAATTTGTTAAGTTTTTTAATTCAAAATTGATCATTAATACTCCTGCCATTCTCAGAGTTTTAAAATCACAAAAATTCAGGGAAATTTTTAATTTTTATCGTGGATCTAAAATATTATTTTACATTTACGGGGTACTATAAAATGCTTGATTGCTCGTAAGTTTAAGGAGATAAATAAAAAAATGTTAATTAATTAATTTTATATTACAAATTGATTAGTTAACAATATTTAATTGATTAATCATTTGATTAATTAATTATAATAAATAATTAAAATAAAATAAACAATTAAAAAAATGTAATATATGCACATTGAAATAAAGAAAACGTTACTATTTTATTCTATTTGTTATTATATAATTATTATTATTATATTATTTATATATACTTATTCAGAGGGTAGTCAAAATGGAAAAATAATTAAGCAAAATTATTTTTTTTATAAACCGGTTAAAAAAATTTTTAGTAAAAAGCCCAAATATAATTCAAAGTAAAATTTTAAGTTAAAATTATTTTTTAAAATAATTTATCTGTAAAAATAAATTTTCTAAAAATGACTGAAATATTCAAAAAAATTTTACCTAAATTAATCCATTACACCCTATCTTTTATATATAGAATAAAATTCTTAAGCTAAAATTTTTTAGACTAGTAATAATTTTATATCATTAAGCCTTATTATAAATATCAACGATAAAACTATTTTAAATAAATAAAAAAACAATTATGATCTAGGGGTTTTGAGCTGCAATAAATCAGGATCTAAAAGTGGGTTATCATCACTCTCTGGAGGTTTAGTTAGCCCATTGATAATGAGTGGTGAGGTTGTAGTGACATTAGTAAACGGTGAAAAGCCAGCCCACTCCATTCCCAAGTAAATGGACGGCGGGCTGCCAAGTGGAGCTTCCAACAATAATTGATCAGTGTTCTGCGGCTGCTGGTGGTGAAGATGGTGATGGTGATGGTGATGTGCTGACTGTTGATGATGCTGCTGGACTTCTTGACATGCATCCGTTATGTGAGATGACATGCCCACTTTACATTGCTTTTCTTGCTTGCGCCATTTGGCTCGTCGGTTTTGGAACCATACCTGTTAAATATATTATCTATATTATTAAGAGAATAAGAAAAATTTCGTGTCCAGGATAGTTATATGATAAAATCGGGTTTTTTTAGTGAAATTTAGTATCATTGCAAAGGTCTTGACTTGAATTTATGCCTTTTCAAGGATTCGTATCATTCTCACCAATAGTCAATCTTATGATGATACTTATTTAGGGTGCATTCGAAAATGCTCTATCTCTAGGTACATAATTAAGAAATTACCCTGTATCTTGTGAACTATTAATATTCTTAAAGATATAAGCTCACCCCGACATTACAATCATCGAGAGCTTTCATTTGAGTACCCACATCAATTTTTCTTATATTCATATATATTATATATATGTATATATGAAAAATATATAAAAATGCATGTGGGTACTCAAATGAAAGCTCTCAATGAGTATAATGTCATGGTGAGCTTATATCTTAAGAAATGACAACAACTAAGAAATAATGACTTTATATCTTGTCAACTACTGACATTTTTAAAGATATAAGCTCATCTTTACATTATACTCATCGAGACCTTTAATTTGATTACCCACATCAGTTTTTCATATATTTTATATATTTATATATATTATATATATGTATATATGAAAAATATATCAAAAATGCATGTGGGTACTTAAATGAAAGCTCTTGATGAGTGTAACATCAGGATGAGCTTATATTTTTAAAAACGTCAATAGTTGAGAAATGACATTGTATTTTGTCAACTAATGATGATCTAATTTTTTTTTTTTCTTATTTTTTTACACGACCAATATTTTCATTGTGATTTCATAATTAAGATTCATAATGAATAATTCAAATTTTTTGATAATTATTTAAACATTTTAATTTTAAAATTCTGACTTTCTTATTGGTGATAAAAAATTATAAGAGAAATTTTTTTTATAAAATAAAATTTTGAATAATTTTCATTAAAAAATTTTTTTTATACCACCAATATTTTCACTGTAATTTTATAATTAATATTCATAATGAATAATTCAATTTTTTGATAATTATTTTAATATTTTAATTTTAAAACTTTGGCTTTCTTATTGGTTTTACGAAAAAATTATGAGAAAAATTTTTTTTCTAAAATTAAATTTTAAACAACTTTTATTCAAAAAATATTTCAAGAAATTATTCTTATCAATTCTCAGATAAATATTTTTTACTACCCGAAAAAACGGTCTCACTAGATATTAAAAGTCGTCAGGTGAAAGAATGAACAGTAGGTATAAATCTAAAAATAAAAAATTACCTCTGTGGGTTGATTTTGAGCATCAGAACTGGCGGACTGTTGGCAAGATCCATCGGTCGTATAAAGAAGCAGTGGTTGTTGGTCACCAATACTCATAGATCCATGTTGCAATGTGTTACTTTGATGCTGCTGATGTGTATGCTGAGGTTGTTGTGTACCAGTAGTAAAACTATAATAAATATGATCCAATGATTGTGATCCGGATGCAGGCGGCGGGACTGCTGCTGGAACTCCTGCTGGATGAGTACCAGTAGTATAATAGTGCGGAGCGGTAAGCGTTTGTAGTCCATGTGGTCCATTTGATGGTGGACTTGTTGCACCAGTTATACTGTTGTTTCCACTGCTACCTCCTCCGCCACCTCCTCCTCCAGCGACTCCACCGCCTCCGCCATTTGGATTACCATTATTCGTTGTGTTACTCGTTGCATACACATACTGAGGTGCACCAGCTGCTCCCGTGTAATACGACTCGTACTAAAATAAATAACAATATTTCTCAATTAACTGCTTGTCTACTCGCTAATTAATTTTAAGTAGTTTATTTTTTGTTTTTATTTATATTATTTCTTGTTTAAAAAAAAATAAATAAAAACACAACAAATAATTGGCAGCAGCGTAGGGCTAAAACAAAAGCTTAATAAAAAAAAAATTATAAGCTAATTATTTTTAATTATTAACTGCAATGTAACATTTACAGGTGATCCTGAGCATGCCTGTGTACGTGCTGGACCTTAATAAAAATAAAAAAATAAAAATAGCTATCATGCTGACAAATAATAATAAATTTATAAAATAAATAAATAATATAAGTGATGGCTTATTTTATCTTTGGCTTGTTGGCTTGGTTTATTATTTTTTTTTTTTTTTTTTTTTTTTTTTTATTGGTAGTTATGTTTAATTGACAATCTTATTGTACCTTTAAACCTCAATACTGTATTGCGTCGAGAAGTACATAAGTAGGCATTTGCTGAGGGTTCGGTAGAAAGGCCGGTGGTATTGCTTCTCCCATCAGACCGTTTGTCTGTTTTATTATAAATTTTTACGTATAACAATTAACTATTAACCTTTTTTTTTTTTATCTACTGACCTTTATCTTAATTAAATATTTTACTTGAATTTTAAATTATTATTTTAAATTTTATTTATTAATTAGTGATAGACTTACAGGCATTGGAGAGTATTGATACTGTTGTGGCATGTAAAGTGAAGGTGCGGGACATGGATACATCATTGGAGCAAACGTTTGATGTGTTGATGCAGCTTGAGGTCCTGAGGATAAATAATTAATTGTGTTTTTATTTAAAATTTTTTAATCAGAATTTTTTGTTACTGAGAGTTAATTACCAAAAACACTAGCAGCTTGATAAATAGCGGCTGGATCAGTTGGTGGTGCTAATGGATTACCAGGAGTTGGCGCTCCAGTATTGTAAAATGTTAAACCATTTTGGTAAGGTAGTCCCATGCCTAAAATTTTTAATCAATAATTAATTATTAAAGAGATATTAATTTTTTTTTTTTTTAATAAAGTTAGAATCGTAATAGTTTTTAAAAAGTGTTACTATAAAATGTTGTACTAAATTTGTAATAAGGGATTGACACATTCCAATTCAATGAACTGATGTCAATATGAGCGGCTAAATAATTATCAGATTATAGTGTAGGATAAATTTGTTTTGCTCTAAATATTTAGAACTAATTAGTCGGATTTTAATGTCTATTGACATTAACAAAATATTGGCAATTGTAGAACCTTGATGTTACCATTTCAGTTTATTGATCAAATTTATCGTTAATAGAAATTTGCTAATAAATATATCTGATATCCAAGTAATGATGTAAATATTTATTAAATATTGTAAAATATGTAAAGTAAAAGACCCAGTTATTGACATTTACAATTTTATTTTAATTAAAAAAAAATAACAAATCAACTCTAATAAATTAATAAATATATTTTTTGAATTATAGATTTTAAAATAATTGATTTTTTGAGAACATTTAATTTTTTTAATTAGACTAAAATTGCAAGTGTCAAACAACTAGGCCAGTGTCAATAACTGGGTCCTATACCTTATCTAGAGTTCTTATATGAAAATTCCGAATATTTTTCGAGTTAATCATTTTTGTAACAACGTGTCATGACAATTGCACGCGCGGCGCTCCGACGAAAACGCGTTTTTCTCGAAACTACTTTTTTTGAACTGGTGGGATCTGTAATTTGCATAAATATGAACTGATTTGCAACTTTTTTTTTTTTTTTACGTATTCGTCTATTCAGTAGCTATAGTTGCACGTGAGGGATTTTGAAAATTTTGATTTTGAAAATTTTTTAGGGCTTTTTGAATCTAAAAAAATGAGAAAAAAAAACAAAAAAATTTTTAATATGTCGCAATTTTTTTTTAAACCCAAATTTTCAAAATTCTCTACATGGGACGATAGCCACGTGCATGCAGATTACAACGCAGTTTGGTTTTTTTGTTTTAGATAATCCGTTTTTGAGTTAGAGATCCCACCATGGTGGGGGAAATTTTTTTGGTGCTCCACAAAAATGCTTATAACATGATATTTTTTAATAAAAATTTAGGAGAATGATCTTCAATATATACTTCATAAAACAATAAAACTCGATCTCCAAATTCTTTTATTATCCCAGTCAAAAAAATTCCCGAAAATCACCTATTTTTTCGATCCTCTCAGTGACTATCCCCCTTAATAAAGCCACTTAATCAATTTAATTCTGGATCGCAAAAAAAAATTATAGAAATATTTTGTCATTTTTTATAAATAAGTCATACTTTAATTTAGTTATTCCAGTTTAAATATTTTTATTACTCTAATTGAGTAATTCAAAATATTTATTTGAGTCTATTAAATATCATATAATTTTTAATGGAATAAATTTAAATATAAAAGAATGTATTAAAGCTTTAAATTTATAATAAAATTATTTGATTAATTGCAATGAGTTTGTTTTGGTGCTGGACATTTAAAAAATTTTTTTTATTTCAATGTCATTGTTAAAATTAATTATTTATACCAGAAAAATCTTTGTCACATTGACTTTAAATATTTTATTTTTAAAAATAAAATATTAAAAAATGTTTAATTAAAAACAATCAATAACAATAATTGAGCTCTAACCCTTTACCTCAGCAATTGATGTATCGAATTTCAATAAAAAAAAAAAAAATTAATAAAAAATAATTTTGATTAAATTTCATAATACACGATTGAATTTTTTTAAAGCTTAATGAAGATAAATAAATAAAAATAATAATAATAAAAATTGTAATTTAAAACAAATACCATTAGCATAATAGTAAGGACTTGTAGGCACAGCTGGAGGTGAACCTGAACTACCATCGAACGAACGATTAAAAGGCTGTTTTTTAATTGCAGGCGCAATATTTAGTTTCCTCTCTCTCAAAATAATACTCTCAGGCTAAAATAAATAATAAATATTAAAACTAATTATCACTTATAACAGTAAATATCATTAAAAAATAAATAATAATTACCTCCTGTTGAAGCCGTTTGGCTTCAGCTTCGGTTTCAAATGTAACAAACCCATAACCCTTAGAGACACCAGCTCTGTCGGATATTATTTTAGTAGCCTTAACATTACCGTAAGCAGAAAATAATTGTGCTAATTCAGCCTCACTGGTACTCGCAGAAATACCACCAACAAATATACGATTAGGTACCAATGTACCATATTTAGGTGCTGACATTGCTTGGCTAGCTGCTGAAGCTGGACTTGAGGCAGGACTTGACCCCTCAGTACCTCCTGTTGATGCTGAACTCTATTTATAAAAATAAATAAATAAAATATAAAACTCCTTATTTATTAAAAAAATTAAAAAATAACTACCCAAATGTTAATCATTTCAATGCTAAAAAAAAAAAACAACGAAAGTTGAAATAAATGACTAACGATATTGTAAACAAATTTTTATTGACATTTGCCAGTAATAATCATAATAGTTGAAATAAGTATTATTACTACTATGATTATCATTATAAAAAAAAAAAAAAAAGTAAAATAAAACTAAACTGTCAATATAAAGCTTTTAAAAATGAATGAAAAAAACGTCATAGAAAAAAAATGTCAAAATAAAGCACGCAATGGCGAAAAATAATGACTGTAATAATTAAAATTAACAATTAATAATAATAACAATAACTTACCATGTTAAAAGTCCTGTCGGACTTTTTGGGCGAGCCCTTGCAGGATTTAAAAGTTGTTGTAAGTTTTATGATCCTGGGGATGGAATAAATAAAATGTCTCTTAGATGGTTGAAGAGAGAGAGAGAGTACAGACTAAAACCAAAAGCAAAAGAATATCACATATATTATATATATGTGATATTCTATATATATATATATATATATATATATATATGTATATGTGTATGTATATAAGTAGTTGAATGTTGGTTGATGGTTTGGTTTGCTCCCACGGGATTGTCAGAGCCCGGGGTTGTAAAACCAGACGTTAATAAATGATAACTCACTTGTAATTATTGTAATTAACAAACTTGCGTTGTTAATTTATTATCACACACCATCAGACATTTGTTGATGTAAATAAATAATTAATAAATAATAGATATATGTGGTGGTGAATGCCTCGTATTTTAAAATATACGAGAGGCCCCTTGTATACTTGTAACACACCTCCCTCTCTGGCACTCTCTGCTCCGTGCTCAGTACACTAACACTAAAGTCTGTCTTCCTCGTCTCTCTTTTAAAACTTCTCGCTCACACGTTTTTGTTCTTCGTTATGCGTACGGCCTACAAACACCACACCACCTACCTGTGCCTGTGTTGCCTGTGCACCACCGAGTACACTTGCTGTGTAAGAGTGAGTGAGCGCACTGTCTTTTTGTCTACCGTGTGCGCTTCTCAGCGCTTCTGGTTGCTGGTACTGGTGTGTTGGGTTAGTAGCTACGAGGAATCACTCTCGCTCTCATTTTTTTATCGCACACCAACCGACTCTTTTCTAATTGGTCTTTACACTAACAAGATGGCCGGGGGCTTACACGCGCCAATTTTTAATTTTGGTATTTATTGGAGTGAATTTTTTTTTTTTTTATTTGTAATACTGAAGTTTATTTTTTTGATTTTTTTTTTAATAATTAAATTATGATAACAAAATATTTTTTAAAATTGCACTCATAGTTTTTTAATTCTTTTACAAATTAAATTTTTTTTTATTTTTTTGTAGTAATTTTTTCAATAAAAAAAAATTCTAAAAATTTTTACATGTCGGCTAACTTAATTTTTATAAATTAACATGACACTGAAGTTGACAGACATAAAAAATAGTTTAGAATTTTATGACAATTAAATTATTAAAAAAATTTCACATGTGAAACTTAATAAAAATTACAAGTGAAAATTTTTAGAAGCATTTTTTTATTGTAATTGATTCGGTATAAAAATTTTTAAAATTGACAGCTGACGGCTAACTTCAGTATTGTAAATTAACTTGGTAAATATTTAATAATTTTTGTAACAAATAAATTATCACAAAAAAAAATGATACTAAAGTTAGCCGACGTTTTTAATGTTTTGATTTTTTTTTTTAATAATTAAATTAGAACAAAAAAATATTTTTAAAAAATTACACTTAAAGTTTTTAAAGTTTTTTACAAGTGAAAATTTTTTTTTTATTTTTTCGTAATCATTTTTTCAAATAAAAAAAATTCTAAAAATTTTTAAATGTCGGCTAGCTTAATTTTCATAAAAAAAAATGAAATTTAAAAAAATTAAAAATGCAATTTTTTTAAAATAATTTTATAGAACAAAATTTTTAAAATTAAATAATAGTCAAGTGACTGCTAATTTTAAAGTTATAAATTTTTATAAAAAGTCAATTGCAATAAAAAAATTTCACTAACAATTTTTTTTAATTTTTACATGTGGAATATTTTTATTACATTTTTTTCATGATAATTTTATTGCAACAAAATCATAAAAAAATTTCTCAGTTAATTTCAGTGTTTTAAAAATTTGTTTTTTATAAGGAAAAAAATAAGAAAAATTAAAGATTTTTATTTTTAATAAAAAATGTTTTTAAGATTTTTAGGTGAAAAAATATGATACTAAAATCAGCAAGCATTTAGCAATTTTTTTTTTTACTATAAGTAAATCAATTACAAAAAAAAAATATTTTTAAATAATTTGTACTTGCTATTTTTTTATAATTGAGTTGTTAAAAAAATTAACAAATGTTTGTTAATTTCAGCAAGAGCTTTAAATTAAATTTTTTTCTCAATTTCTTGTAATAATTTGTTATGTAAAACATTTTTTTATTAATATTAATTTTTATTAATAATTTCTTTTTTTTTGAAGACCGTCATAATTTTTCGTTCGTTCGTAGACCAGGTAATAGGATAATTAGGATCCATGTCCCTTACTTAGGTACTTAGCCCGGAACCTCAATGCATTTAAGATTTTAAAGCTTAACAAACAAGTAAATGGGAGTTTTGTTATACGTAAATGAACTTGTAGCCGTTTGAAAGAAACATTGGAAGATATTATCTGGACATCTTCAAATCTAAAGATGCTCTTAAATGCACTGTGGCACTAAAGTCCGGACTGGGAAATTTTCGTAATTATAATTTCATTAAGAAATATCTTTTGGTCTACTGTCTAGACATTATAATAAAAAAATTATAACTTAAGTTTAGGAAAATAATAATTTTACAATAATAAGTAAAATGCTTAAACAATAATTTTAAAATATAGACTAAAATAATTTAGTTAAAACACGTGTTAAGAGTAATAAATAAGTAGAAGTAAAGATAGACAATAAATAATGACTCAAAATGAATAGTTAAATAACAAAACTATTAAACAAAATAGAATTTAAATGTTAAGAGTAATAAACAATTAGAAGTAAAATAATGATTCAAATGAATAGTAATTAATAGAACTATAAAATAAAATAGAATTTATATATTAAGAGATAAAAATAAACAAATCGGAAACTACAAATTAATTATTAACAATGACTGACTAATTGTTGATTAAATTTTCAGTCGATTGTTAACATACATTATTTAATCGTAGTTTAAGCGTTTAAATAATTTAGCTACATATATAAGTTAAAGAATATTGATATCTCAATTTTTCATATAGTAAAGTACAAGTTAACATTAAGGTCTCTGTGTGCATGTGTGTGTGTATAGATGCGCCTATACATTATCACAAATGTACAATGCACATCCTGTGATCTATACTTGTGCATCAATATACAAAGTAGACTGCCACTATAGTAGTTTTCCGAAACATCCGAAGAGAGGGTAAGAGTCCCCGAAATTCGATAGCTAATTGGGCATTGGTTTCTCCCTCCAATTAACAATTAAGGGACCGCAAAAATCTCGGACCCGGAAAACTGCTAAGTTTTCGCTCTCTTCGTGTTTTGACCTATCTAGTGGTAACATCGTACACAGTTTAAGTAAGTCTCAATAGACCACGTGTAATTTTGTCTCATTTGAAATTTAAACAGTTGTAAAAGTAAAGTAGAATCATAAAGTGAAATCAACTAACAAGATTCATCAACTTTATCAGGTACATTTTAAATATTAATATTTGTGAATTTAGCAATATTGAAAATTCGTTATAAGAAAGAAAATATTAAATTTTAACCATTGTGTAATAATTGTAGTAATTGTAATAGTTTGTAACTTTACTAACTTTAATTTGAATAATATATGTATTAGGCGCGCAGTAGCCTATCGGATCCGGCCCTTGCTTACCAAAGCATTGGACCGGGTTCGAGTCCGGCGTACACCAATGAATATTTTCAATATTTAAGTGTACTAGAATTTAATTTTCGCGCGCAAGCGCGCGTCTTGACTATAGAGTTTGTGTATATTTTCATGCTTATGATATATTCGACCAATCACGTTACGAATAGTTTGATGCCACATACATTTCATCTCAATTTTATATTAGGACTAGAATTTAATTTTCGCGCGCAAGCGCGCGCATCATATTTATTGTCATAATATATTTATGTGTCGTTTATGTATAGTATATTCACTTTCAACCAATCAGAATGAGAATATTTATTTTTCGACCAATCACATCACGAATAAATTGGTTTCACAAACATTTCATCTCTATTTTATTATGGGATAAGCACGTTGCTACAATTTTGATCACTCGGCCACTGTGAAGGAGGTAAACTAAAGAAATCACTTAAAAGCTCAAACTGTTCGAATAATGGTATATACTTCTTCGTTATAGAATCACCAATATTTTTGATAGACCATGAATCTAAATTGTTTGATAAACGTCAATACGTTTGTTGTAAGTGTGACTTACTTTCGTTTTTATGGCTTTCACTATTTTTATTCTACTTCCAATGATTAAGGATCATCGAAAGAAGTCAGTGAGGCAATTTCTTCTAAAAAATACTACAAATCGAGTGATCAAAATTATACTACTTGTTTATCGTCATTAAAAAATGTAAAGGTAGTGAACGATATTGCAGAAAGAGCAGTTGCTTTAGTTGAAGAATTCTTTCAGTTTAGTACTAAAAACGAAAAACAAAAACAGTATTGATGAAAAATTGTACAGTATCTTTGCAAATTATATCCTTCGTGCAATAAATAATATTTATGGGAATCACATCACGAATAAATTGGTTTCACGTACATTTCATCTCAATTTTATTATGGGAATCACATCACGAATAAATTGGTTTCACGTACATTTCATCTCAATTTTATTATGGGAATCACATCACGAATAAATTGGTTTCACGTACATTTCATCTCAATTTTATTATGGGAATCACATCACGAATAAATTGGTTTCACGTACATTTCATCTCAATTTTATTATGGGAATCACATCACGAATAAATTGGTTTCACGTACATTTCATCTCAATTTTATTATGGGAATCACATCACGAATAAATTGGTTTCACGTACATTTCATCTCAATTTTATTATGGGAATCACATCACGAATAAATTGGTTTCACGTACATTTCATCTCAATTTTATTATGGGAATCACATCACGAATAAATTGGTTTCACGTACATTTCATCTCAATTTTATTATGGGAATCACATCACGAATAAATTGGTTTCACGTACATTTCATCTCAATTTTATTATGGGAATCACATCACGAATAAATTGGTTTCACGTACATTTCATCTCAATTTTATTATGGGAATCACATCACGAATAAATTGGTTTCACGTACATTTCATCTCAATTTTATTATGGGAATCACATCACGAATAAATTGGTTTCACGTACATTTCATCTCAATTTTATTATGGGACTAGAATTTAATTTTCGCGCGCAAGCGCGCGCCTCATATTTATTGTCATGATATATTTATGTGTCGTTTATGTATAGTATATTCACTTTCAACCAATCAGAATGAAAATATTTATTTTCGACCAATCACATCACGAATAAATTGGTTTCACATACATTTCATTTCAATTTTATTATGGGATTATTATGGGATTATACTGCTCAGCCCAAGAAATAAAACGAGTTCCAATCTCAAAAGTTTACCCCCTACCGCAGTCGCTCATGACCTTAGTAGTTTATGCGACTTTAAACAAATTAAGAAAAAAAAAATAATATATGTATTAAATTCAACTAATGATTAATTTATTCAAAGAAACCTATTCTCAATAAATATAAAACTCGGAGTTCCCGGTCTATTAGCCTAACACGCTAGGACTAAATACTAAATAATTAAATGATTTTTACATAACAAATTACTTAAAAAAAAAAAAATTATCCGATACTTTTAATTTATTTACTTTTTACGAAATTTATTTTATTTTTTTAATTCAATACGACTAATTTTTTGATTAAAATAATAATATGAAAAAAACCACTGGATTTTTTTTTTTTAAAGAAGAAATTATCAGCAATCCTTTTTGAAAAACTACTGCATGATAATTAAAAAATATTTTTTATAATTCTTCAGTTACGTCTAAAATCGAAATAAAATGTCAATACAGAACAAACAATTTAATTAAAAAATTTATTTCATAACTAAAATAAATATTAAAAAATAAAAAGTCATAATGACTTGATCAAATTTATTTTAAATTATATAATACAGTTGTATAGAAATTGTACTAATTTATTTGACGGCTACTATCTTATCAAGATAATTTGAAATAATTAAGTCATTATTTTCAATAATTTAAGAACACTCGTTTTAGTAATCAAATCAACTAGAGTATTGATAATTCTTAAATATTTATATACAACTTTCAATTGTGACAAAAAAAAATTCTAATATCTAATTACAGTTTTTAGTTAAACTAAAAAATAAATAATTATAAAAGAAAATGAACTAAAAAGAAATTAGTTATATACTATTTAAATCGGTATTTATATATATATATATATTATTATTCGATTCTTTTTTTAGGTCTATAGATTTTTATTGTGTTTTAATAAAAGAAAGTAAAAAAAGTATTTTTTAAATTAAAACAAATTTGAAATTGAAGTATTGGCTGTTAATAAAAAAATTAGCTTAGTCTATAAAGTAAATGTTAATTTTCTGTCTCTTTAATCCAATTTTTTATTTAGAAAGTTCTGAAAATAAAGAAAATTATTAATAAAATACTATTGAAATAAAAAAACAAAAATACTCACTAATTTTTTTTGAGTCGCAAGGCAAAAAGTACAGACTTGTGATCTTATGTATTGCCCATCGAATTTATTAAATTTATTAAATTCACTCAATTTTTTTTTATAATAACTATTGTTTCTTAAACATGGTTGATCATGAGCAGAATTAATTCCAGTTATCACAATAGTGTCCAAATGAATGATATAACTGAATGCCAGTTTCAGTGTTTCTATTTTAGATAATTTTTTATCAACTGGTTCTGTCGGTATTAACATACGTAATGTATTAAATGCCATATTTACACTATAAAAAATTAGTAATTGTTAATTATACATTTAATTTATTTATTACTCACTAATGTTACCTATAAGTACGATCTCTTTCCCGCGCATTTGCATTACTTCTCAGTTTAATCGGTTCTTCCCAATTGTTATCTCCCGCCATTATTTAAAAATTTAAAAATCACAATTTTATTTTGATCACAAAATTTTATTTTTTTTTATCTTATATTAATTTTTAATTTAAATTAAAGATAAAAAGTAATTTTAAAGAGATGTTTGTTCATCAAGAGTTAAAATATATATGAGTGCATTTATTAATTCTCTGTTTATTTAATATCTTTCTCATTCTCGTTGTTTTACATTTTTTGCTAGTTTATTTTATACTGTGGTAAGTAAATTGTAACACATAATATAGAGATGCACTGACAGTGGGTTTAGTACTACGAATATGAATAAAAAAATTAAACCACTTAACTTAATGTGACTGGCTAAAAAAACATTACATCTGTTAAACTAATTAAAGTGTTTTATTTATTACACTATTTTAAATTAGATTTTTAAAATATAGACAGTAGGAATAATAACTAATTTATTTTTTGATTTATTTTTTTTTCCTATTTTATGTTTGTATGAAATTATTTCAAATTAAATATTTTCAAGATTTTTTTTTCATTTTCTATTATACAGTTCAAATTTTTTAGTTCAATTTTTATCATAAAATAAAATATAATCAATACCAAGTTTTTATTTTTTGATGATCCGTTTTTGAGTTTTCCATGCGACCATGGAAGGAGAAATTTTTTCTGGTCCTCTGCGAGATTGTTAATAACTTTGTAATAATTAAATATTTTTTAATAAAAATTTAGGGCAATAATCTTTAATGTACCCTTAATAAGATAACGCCCAGTGGCGTTCCCCCTTAATCATTTATTGACTGAATTTTTACTTTTCAAAAAGGAAATAATATAAAATAAAAAATGAGATTAAAAGTAAAGAGACAATATTTGTTTTTGAATATTTATTTCATCTAAAGGCTTCATTTTGATTTATTTATACACTATTTAATGAATTGGCAAATTAAAGATTTATTAAATAAAATAAAGAAAATCTTAAATATGCCATTAAGTAATTTCCATAAAACATTTTTACAGTAACATAAAAATCCCACAGCAAATATCAATAATAATTCGCTTACATAATAAATTATTAATTATGTATAAGTTAATTACGATCATCAAAGATTAAGAGATTAAAATATACAAAATATTTCAATTGAATACTATTTTTATCTTACGTTAATAGCTTTTTTTTCTTATTTTAATAATTATTATTTATTATTCAATTGCCATAAAAGTTAAAATTTTTCTACACTTAAAAATGACATAAAAAAAATACTATTATTTATACTAATTAATTTGTTTTAAAAAAGTTTCATTTATTTTTATTTCTCCATTATTTATCTATGAAATTCTATTTATTTTTTTTCTCTTACTTCCACGATCTTATTTTTTTTTCTTTTATTTCATTATTTTTTTTCTCCGTATTTACAATGGACAATATTACACAACGTTTCATTCGCTAAAAATATTTTTTTTAGCCAACGAGACGTTCAATATATATTTATTTATACATAAATATATATATATAACATTTATAAGTAAATAGTCAAATTTTTTAAATATTTTTTTTCTGTAAGAAAAAGTAATTTAATTAAAATTCAATGTTTTTCCATCCTGGAATAATTAGAACACTTTTTTTTTTTTCTAAAAAAAAAAATGCAAAAAACACGTTAAAAAATAAATTGTTAATCTAGAATAATTACTTAAAAAAATTATTATAGTAGTTAATAATTATTATCATTACTATTACTATTATTAATACAATAATTAATAAATTGAGTTAATTGAATAATAAAAAAACAAATAATAATAATTGATACTAATATTCCAGGACGAATTATTTAAATAATTACTATCATTCATTATTAATTATAATATAAATTATTTAAATTGTTGTATATATAAATATATTTTAACTAAAATAATTATTAATTATTTCATTGTCGTGATCCACGAGCAGCTTCTTCTAATGCACGAACTTTTAATTCACGTTCACGTTGTTGTCTATAATAAGAATCTCTGTTAATAGTTATAAAATGCTCAATAAAAATAAATGTCATAAGTTAAAATTTTTTTTAGCTTAACAAAGCATATAAAAACCTTAAATATTCTTCATGATGAGCGACTATTGATGCATGAGCTGGAAACCGTTCCCGTTCCATCATCAAGTGACGTTGAAATTGTTCATGTGCCGCCATGTCGGCATAAGGACGTGATAATAACTCCGCCGGGTGTAATCCAAGCGTTGGATCACGTTGCATCATCCCAGGTCGTGGATAATTAGCATTAGCCACTGCTATGGGATTATGAAAATAGAGCAAGAAAAAAAAAATAAAAAACATAGTAAATTTTTTTTTATGTAATACTTGTTAAAAAATAATTAATGAATAATCAAAGAAAAAAAAAATTAGAAGACTAGTTAATTTACGTTTTTTTTTTTTTTTTTTTTAAATTATTACTAACTATAAATTTATATAAATAAGTAAGCAAATTTAATTAGTGCTAATATGATACTGCAGTCATTCAATTTTAAATAACCATTCATAACCACAGCATAAATTTAATTACTTAAATAAATAAAAAAAAAATTTTTACAAATATTTATACTATGTTATAATTACAATTTTTATTAATTAAATAAAACTTACTCTCATTCATATCATTATTCCACTCATACCTTTTTTATTATTATTATTATTTGTTAGAAAAGCCGACGAGCTAAAAATTTATTTCATTCTCTCTGATAAATCATTTATTTTACAGATAATTAATTAAAATCAGAAAAAAAAAAAAATTAACAGAGAATGAAATGTTTTTTAGCATGAGGAAAAAGATTTGCAAAAACCAAAAGATGATTTTTTATATAAAAATTTATCTGAAGACACGATTGATGATCAGTTTGGTTTTTTTTGTTTTTGTTATGGGGAGACATACCAGGCAGGGGGTATCCAGCGGCAGCGGCAGCCACTTCCTGTTGTTGCTGTGCTTGTTGCTGGGCCTGCTGTTGTCCTGGATGTAGGTGCAAGTGGGTATGCGCGTGAGTATGCGCGTGAGTGTGAGCATGATATTCGGGCGAGATGCCAGCCATCTGTAATCGGATCATCGGATCGGCAGCTAGAGCCAGTCGCTCGTCAAGCTGGCCATGATGATGTGCAACAGGATGGCCGGCTCCTGCGCCCGCTGGCCCCCCGCCGGCTCCAGTGGGAATCCCTAAACCCGCACAATCAACGGACCCAATGTCAACACACTTTTCTTTCATTTAATATTTTACATTACCAAAAATCTAAAGTCCCGTTTTAATTTTAATAACAACAAAATAAAATCTTAAGAGGGTATTCTCGTTTAGAAATTTGAAAAAAATCGATTTTTTTTTTTTTTTCATATTATCACAGTATAACCTTTATTCTAAGAATATGTCCCTAAAAGATTATGTTCCTAAATTAAATAAATTAGCAACCTTGCAGTCACTATGTGATTGCCATGGCTTGTGAACTATAAATAGATCAAATTTTGCTTTATTAAATAATGACTTTTGTTAAATTGCACTGTACTTTTTTAACTGTTGACATTTTTTAAGATATAAGCTCATCCCGATGTTACACTTATCAAGAGCTTTCATCAGAGTACCCACATGCATTTTTGATATATTTTTCATATATACATATATATAATATATATAAATATATGAAAAATTGATGTGGGTACTTGAATGAAAGGTCTCGATGAGTGTAATGTCGGGGTGAGCTTATATCTTTAAAAATATCATTAGTTGACAATATACAATGTCATTTCTTAACTATTGACGTTTTTAAAAATATAAGCTCATTTCGATGTTACACTCATCAAGAGCTTCCATTTGAGTACCCACATGCATTTTGATATATTTTTCATATATACATATATGTAATGTATATAAATATATGAAAAATTGATGTGGGTACTCAAATGAAAGGTCTCGATAAGTGTAACGTCGGGGTGAGCTTATATCTTTAAAAATGTCAATAGTTCACGAGATACGATGTCATTTCTTAATTAAGTATCTAGAGGTAGAGCATTTTCGAATGTAGCCTAAATACTTATCATCATAAATTGATTATTGGTGAGAATGATATGAAACCTTGAAAAAGCACAACTCCAGGTCAAGACCTTTCTAATGATACCAGATTTAACCATAAAACCCCATTTTATCTCTCCTTTTTTTATTTTTTTGTTTAGATAAATCTCACCGGATAAACTGTAGTATTTTTGACAATCTTTAAAATGTGAAATTGTTATTTCCTTCGTTTCTCTCGAAATTATAAATTATATATTTTCTCTTTTTTATTTTTATTGTAATCTCACGGATATATATTGCCGGTTGGCGTTTTCTAAATAAATGAATAAACAAACAAAAAGATTTTTCGGAATTTAAATTATTTACGGAGTATAACACGCCGTTAAACGACTCCGACTGCGCGTGACTTGTCCTCAAACTTTAAGCGCGTTTTTCTCGGAATTACTTCTTAAAAACGGTGTGCATATCTCAAGTTTTACACAATCGATTTACTTGAAATTTTACACAGCGTTTCTTTATGCATTATAGTATCACACTGCGGAGCGTTTTTAAATAAAAAAATTTTTTTTATATTTTTAAAAAATTCCAAACTGCAGAAAAACAGGGAAAAAACAAGACATATTTTTCAAACCGCCATTTTGTGAAAAAATTTTTTTTTCTTTAAAATGTCTCGTAGTGCGATAACTAAATCCTTCCTCTTCAAGAATTATTAATTGTTTTTGAAAAATTGATACCCTGCAAACCAGGATGTGCTATTTTTTCACCAGTCCTCACTTTGCCGGTCTGTAGTTTTTTGAAATTTGATTTTTTTTTTTTATTAATGTTTTGTACTCTTTAAATATAAAAAAAAAAAATGGATGGTAAAAATATTTGTTGTTTTTTTTTTTATCACGATCAAAAAAACACCTAAAATTCGGGCTTCTAGACGAGAATACCCCCTTAAACATTTTATCAAGAAAAGTAAAGCCAAAATTGATAGCCTGGGCTTTAGAATTTTGTAATATTTTAATGAGTGTACATTCATACCGCCTACTACCCATTTATAACAAGATTCATTCAGTCGATTGTTCATTCATCTAAGCTTACAACGACATAAACGACAATGATGTATTAAAAACAAAATCATCGCTATAATTACCTAATCTTTCCATCCGTTCACGGTCTAATTGACTTGGACCAGGTGGTGCACCATAAAAACTAAGATGCTGAAGACTCTGAGGTGGCCCAGAAGGTCCAGGTCCTAGACCTCCGTATCTTCTGTGTAATTCCAACCAATGAGGATCAACGCCTCCTGGCATAGGCCTGGGCGCTCCTTTCATCAACTCTTCTTTTAATCTATCATTAAGATCCCGCTCTCTCAACTCCCTCAATTCTCGTTCCCGTTTTTCACGTTCCATGTGTTCAAGTTCGAGTCTCTCCCTAGCACCAGGTGCATACATATAGTGCATCAAAGACTCCGGAGGTCCAGGATGTCTTGCCGGGGAGTAACCAGCATGTGGACGCGCATATTCCGACAATTGTCTCAAAGCCGGAGTGTCTGTGTAGGCAGTAGGACGTTGCGCTGCATACCTGTCGTAGGGCGAAACGACAGGTTCCATTGGTCCTCGGCTTGGAGGCTTGCAAGCCTCCGGCTGTTTTTCCGGCGTAGACATTTTCCGAGCTTGTTGCGCCGCACGATCCCGTTCCTCGCGTTCGCGTTCAGCCTGCTTGCGCGAGCGCTCCTCTCGCTTACGAGCTAATTTTGTCTCAGGCACTGGTTTGAAGGTAAGGTCAGTACGCGTACAGCTGTTATTTTCACCGCGATTCCAGTGACGTAAAAATATCGCGGATTGTGACCGATGACACTCGGAATCTTCGATGCGTGGCTCAGGCGAAGGCCCCCGGGGACTTGGTGGCTCTTCTGGCTCTGGTTCCATCATTTCCTCAACTTTAGGCTCGATAATTGGCGGCTGTTGTATATTTTGTGGCACGGAAGACGGAGGTCCACGATGGTGGTGGTGCATCGTGCTCGAGGGCGTCAAACAACCCTGCTGCTGTACCATCTGGGGTGGTGGTTGCTGCTGCTGTTTACGCTGACTATTGTGCTGTGAACTACTGTGCGACGAAGACGAGTGACTGTGCGACGAGTGGGAAGAAATACTCAGTAGTTTGTCGTGATGCAGCGTTGCAGCTTGATGATGACTCGACGAGGAGTGATGATGAGTTGCTATCAAATTCTCACCTTCCTCTCTTGTTGTCACACTGGAACTCGAGCTGGAGTGATGAGCAGTCATCATCGTCGTACTTTCTTGGCTACGCTGAGGCGATGGCGGTGGAATGGCATGAGGAACTGGCGGTCCGTATGGGTAAGGTGGAAAAGACGGGTACCCACTGACTGGTGGGTACCCGGGATAAGCGTGTGCATGATACGGATGCATTGCGGCAAAAAGTGAATGGTGCATTAGAGGATGGTGCGGATGGAATGGATGAGCCATGTGAGGGCTCGGTTGCTGACTTGGATGCATTACAGGCTGAGGAATTGACGTGGGAGGAGGTAGTGGAGTTGGTGATGCTGCTATTGACTGTTGTATTGGTACAGGAGGTTGCTGCTGCTGCTGCTGCTGTTGCTGCTGGGCCAAAGTTGGCTGACTCGAGTGCTTACTCGGTGTCGGTGGTTTACTGGCATCTGGATCCTTTTTGATATTGTCCAAGCTTGGGCCTGGAAAACCACCTTGAAACCCGGGAACTTTAACCTCTTTTAAACTCTGAAGAGGATCAGGTTCTGGATGAATGATTTCTTGTTTTATTTTCAAGTTCTGCGGTTCCATAGGCGGTGTTGTGGCAAGACTGTAGATAGCTGGCGGTTTCTCGTTAATCATTGGCGGCGGGGGCTGAATTGGCTGGAAAAGATTAACCGGTTCTGGCGGCGGACGATCCTGATGCTCTTGTTGTTGTTGTTGATGATGATGGTGAGGATGATGATGATGATGATCATTATTTTCCATTCTTTCGGGTATTCTGTCAGCTATACGATCGAACAATTTACGCTCAGGTATTCTTTCGTCGTTGAGTCGCTCGTTAATTCGATTATCAGTGGGCATTACTGTAAGACCCAGTGGTTGCGGTGAAGGTGGCATTTGCGACATTTGAGATAAATTCTGTGGTATATTTAAATTCAACGGCGGAACAGGTATACTCGGAGCTAAAGGCTGTGGTTCATGATTCGTTATTGGCGGTTGAATCATATCACGCGACGCCACTAAGCTTTGAGCTATTGGTTGTGGAATATTTTGTGGTATCGATAGATTTTGCGATAGATTTTGTGGTACCGTTTGAGCGGCTTGTATACTACCTGAGTATTGCATATTAAGAGGAAGACCCTGAGGAGGTTGAGGTGGTAATTGACTGGGTGGTGGTGGTGGCAACGCTGTAGGCATACTTTGAGGAATAATTAAAGGATTACTCATTGGTTGTGATAAATTTCGAGGTATATTTTGACTTAAGTCATTTATCATTGGTTGTTGTTGCTGCTGCTGCTGTGGTAGTTGCTGCTGTTGTTGTTGTTGTTGTTGTTGTTGTTGTTGTTGTTGTTGTTGTTGTTGTTGCTGTTGTTGTTGTTGTTGTTGTGGTAGCTGTTGTTGTTGTTGTTGTTGTTGTTGTTGTTGTTGTTGTTGTTGTTGCTGCTGATGCTGTTGCTGTTGTGGTTGCGGCTGTTGTTGTTGTTGCTGCTGCTGATGCTGTTGTTGTTGCTGCTGCGGTTGTTGTTGTTGTTGTTGTTGTTGTTGTTGATGATGATTAATATTTAAATTTTGAGGCTGTGAATCAGGTTCCGTTTTTATTTCCTCATTTACTGGAGACATTTCAGTTTCTGTTGGAAGTGGTTCCAATTTTAATGGAACTGGTTGTTGGTGCGGTGGTTGTTGCTGTTGTTGGATTTGTTGTTGTTGTTGCTGCTGCTGCTGCTGTTGCTGCTGTTGCTGTTGTTGTTGTGGCTGCTGTGGTGGGGGTAGTGGCTGTTGCAATGGTGGCTGCTGTTGTTGAGGTGGTTGCTGTTGTTGTGGTTGCTGCTGTTGTTGATGATGCTGTTGCTGCTGCTGCAGCTGTTGTTGTTGTTGTTGTTGTTGCATTTGTTGCTGCTGCTGTTGTTGCTGATTAACCAAGTCTTCAGGTTCTGTTTTAATCTCAAGCGGTGATTCTTCAACAACTGGTTTTTTCTCTAGCACATGAATAACAGGAATATTAATAGGTAGGGTTGCAATAACAGGTGGAGGAATAGGAGTAGATGCTGGGGTAGGTTCTGAGGGTTCTTCAGGTGTTGCTTCAGGAGAAATGGGTTCTTCATTAACCACCGGGACATTTGAGGAAGGTTGATTCTCATTAGAATCAACTTCGTTTTCGCGCTCTGGTTCATCCATCAGCGAGTTTGAATCGGTCGTTAGTGATTCTGATGGGCTTTCAGCACGTTTACGTTTCTGTTGATCTTTATCTTCGTCGTTTTCATCAATCTGTGGCCTCTTTTGAGTTTTCTTCGGTGTCTCAGATTTATTCGACTTCTTTTTCTTGTCTGGTGTCTGTTGTTGATTTTGTTGTTGCTGCTGTTTCTCTTGATCCGGAGTATCAGTACCCCCAGTTCTGCGTGGCCGTGCTGGACGTGGAGTTTCTTTAGCTTTATTACGTGTCCGCATTCTACCGGGACTGTCCGGTGACTCCGCGGGAACGGGTCGAAATAGATAAGGCGGCGGTGGAGGTAGTTCTCCTGTTTTTTTCAAGTACGATCGACATTCCAGACAAAGTAATAATCTATCTTTACCAGCAATCTGATAATCTTTAGAGGTTGTCGAAAAACAATGCTGACAAGAACGTTCAAATGCTGAACCGTTGGTATTTGTATCACGTGAATCACTGTCTTCTTCAGAATTATCGTCCTCTGTCACAGAACTAACTTCACCGCCCGGATTGTTATTGTTATTATTGTTATTGTTATTATTAGTACTTGTACTATTATTATTGTTACTACTTGCCGAAGCACCGACAGACGGTGTTTCTGGCTCGGTAGTTGCTTCCTTAGCACTCGTCGTGTTTGCTGGTATATTATTTTCTTTAGTTTGAACAGTGGGTGTCTCCTCTTTGGGAGTACCCGCACGTGAGTTACGTGTATTTCGTATACGTCGTAATGAACCTTGACGTCGACGTCTATGGGGACGATTATTGTTTGCACCTGGTGTCTTTTTCCATAAATAATAATATTCAACCAATTCTGGTGTATCTTTGTGGGGTAATAAATCTTTACGTATACGTGAAAAATTTTTTCCAAATTGACGGAGACCTTTGACAAATCGTTTCTATAAACATAAAATAATAAATATTATAAATAATTTTATCTATCACTTACTTTAATTACTTATACTAGGAAACGCAAGATAATAATTATTTTTTTAACACTTTATTCATTTAAATTTAATCTGATGTTTCAATAATTGAAAAATTTTTATCTTATTTTTAAGAATTTTATTTTATGAGCTAAATTATCAATGAATTTTAATGTTCATGAGCTTTGAATAGAAACTAAATTGAATTTATTTAAGATAAAAGAAAAATAATGCTTTAAAATAAAATTAAAATAAATAAATATACCTTAAATTTAATATTTGAAATCGTTAGCTAAAATATCGTTAACTAAGACTTGGTAAATTCAACTGATTGTTAGTTTTATTTATTATCTACATTAAATTGTTTTGAAATTAATATTCTATCGATTACAAAAGTAATTAGATTGTGATATAGCATTTTCGGTGAATACGTGGTTTAATAGATAGTTTAAACAGGTGGAAACATTAATCAATTTATTGACTCGGATATTATAGATAAGTAAATAAAAAAATATAGTAATATTTTATCATAAAAAATATTTAAAGATTATTTTTATAGAAAGTTGAAAGTAAAAAGTTTAAAGTTTAATATTAAAAAAATAAATAATAAAAAAAGGAAGAACTTACAGTTTCTTCCTCGGACCATTTTTTATCGATGCCTTTGGGCACTGGACATTTGACAAGAGCTTGAAGTGCTCGTCCTGGATCATATCCAGAGTCGTGGAGTATATCAAGTGCGTTGATAGTCGTGTCGTCTCGGGATGCTGCGACGCAACCATCATCTGGTGAACCTCCATCACACATACCAGCAAACGCGGCCATTGAACGTGCTGCTCTTAAGTACATGAGCAGATCGCCGTCCAGTGACATCGCTGGGATCCATCTTAATTCTTCTCTTTGTTTAGTGAACTCTGGATCTGGTGGTAGGTCTGCTGATGGCACACCAGGCCGGTAATCAGGCAAACGGGCCTGACAAGAAACCAATTCCTGTATCAACGTTTCAAGGCAGCATCGTTAGCTATCGATGCCTAAAGCTCTATTGTTAACTATTGCTTTTTTTTTTTTTTTTTTTTTTTTTTTTTAAATTATTTACTGTCAATAACCACCACCATTTTTAAAACCAGATAAAACCGGATTCAGCCCAAGATATTTTTTTATAAAAAATAATTTTTGTTGCTGAATAAATTTTAGCTGATAAATTTAATGTATATGTTATGTTATTGAGATTTGTAATTACACACTAGGAAGAATCAGCATTTATTTGAGCGTGATATTTGATAGCTTCAGATTATTTTATATTAGTGATGCAGAAAAATCTTGGAAATTTAAATTCAATAGAGGAAGAAAAGTTTTTTATAAAATTATCATAAAGTTTTTTTTTTATGAAAATCAAAAAATTTACAATTAAAAAAATAAAATTTATGATGGTTTAAAAAAAAATTTTACACATTATTTTTACGAGTTCAAGTATTGTGCTTCGTTAAATTAAATAAATAATAATAAAAAATGGTAAATTCAGTATTTTTTTATTATTAATTTTTAAAATAAAAAATTTTTAACTTCAATTTTTGGATAAAATTTCTATTTTATTTTTTTTTATTTATATTTTTTTGAAAAGTACATAAAAAAATAAACAATTAAAAAAAAAATTGAATATCACAATTTATAGATAAATTTTTTTGAAAATTTTTTAAAATTGTGATAATCAACTTTTTTTTTTAATTGTTCATTTTTTATGTATTTAAAAAAAAAAAATACATCAATAAAGTCAAATAGAAATTTCGTTAAAAAAAAAGAAAATTAAAATGCTTGACCCCACTTGTAAATATTTACCAAGTAGAATTATAAACTTTAATACTTTTTAATTTGATTAAATTGAATATCACAATTTATAGATAAATTTTTTTGAAAATTTTTTAAAATTGTGATAATCAACTTTTTTTTTTAATTGTTCATTTTTTATGTATTTAAAAAAAAAAAATACATCAATAAAGTCAAATAGAAATTTCGTTAAAAAAAAAGAAAATTAAAATGCTTGACCCCACTTGTAAATATTTACCAAGTAGAATTATAAACTTTAATACTTTTTAATTTGATTTTTTTTATAATTAACTTTTAAAGTTTTTATAATTGGAAGCTTGAATTAAATCTAATTTAATTTAAAATAAGATCACAGTTCAATGAAGAAATTGAGCTCGTTAGCAAAACAATTAGCAGTTGATTGAAGACTTTCATCAGAAATTTCTTTAAATCCACTTGAAAATTCAAGTGCACACAAACGTACTCAATCTCGCATTGTTTTCTATCTCGAATTAAAAAGTTCAAATAAAGTTAAGCTGTAAATTAAAAGTTATGTCTCAAATAAAAAAGTTAGATATAATATTTAATATTAACGTAGCAAATACTCAAAAACAGTTAGATTATTTAAAACATACGGATTGGTTATTAAATTTTAAGTAAAATAAACATTTAAATTTAAAAATCCTTGTGGCATAATTGAAAGTTTTAAAAAACTAGTATAAAGATAAAGTTTTAAAGAAACAAATAAAATGAATCCCCTCAAATAATATCTTTTGAAACATCTGGCTTGCTCGGAGCAATCGACGGCGGACGTAAGATTTGTTTATCAGACGGTTCAAATAATAATTCACCGTGACTAAAAAACCACTAAATAAAATAAATAAATAATATGTATCATTAATTATAATTATTAATAAATATAAAACAACCTTTGCCCAATTATAAATGTCAAATATAAAATTCAAATTATAAACGCAAGCTCAATTTGAACCATCAAATTCTAAATCAATCTTATTGGAGTGCACCTTCGCCACAACGATGATCGATCCCAACAAGCCTCGATCAAACGAATTATTTATAAAATTTATAACAGGAGAAAGATAAATTTACGTTTACAAAGAGAAAGTTTACAGAAAGAAATTTTTATCAAATTACAATATCAAAAATAATTTTTTTTAACAAATAACAATAAAAGTAATTATTATAAATTATAACAATAACATGATAGTAGTAGCAGCAGTAGTAATGAAAAAAAAAACAAAAAAAAAAAAAAATAATAAATGAGGATGTTGGAATGAATTTAGCAAACCTGGTGCGATGGACCGACCCGAATCTCGCCCTGGGTGCCAGCGGACATCTCCCCCTCCTCCGAAGCTCCACCGTCTTTCTCCAGTGTTATCGACTGGGTTTCGATCTCTTCCGGTTTTTTTCTCGCCCCTTCTCTCGCTCTCTTTAAATCGCCCTCTCTCTCACTCTCTTATTCGCTCTTATCCCTCTCTTTTCCCGAATATTCCTGAGCCACCGATAACAAAAAAAAAAAAAAAAAAAAAAATAAAAAAAAAAAAAATTCTCGTTAATTATAACAATGTCAATTTTTAACATATAACTTACTTTAAATAATTATTATTATTAATAACATTATTATGAGTATTATAATAAATTACTTAATACAATTAAATTAGATAACAAATAAATTATACGATTGATGCACATACATTCGACTTGTTGCATGCGGGTCTATGTAATATAACAATAACAATAATTCTTTAAATAAATTCTATACTTATAAATAATAATCAAGCTTTTTCTTACTCTATAATTTAAAAAAAAAATTTATTACAACCTTTTTTTATATTCTTCATAATTATTTCTTGGCAAAGGTTTCAATATTTTTTTTTTATTTTTATTTTTTTATTTTTTATCTTCTAAAAACCCTTTTATTAAAAAAAATTTTTTTAAGTGGTTCATTAGTCACGGTGAAGTACGCAGGCAATTTTTTTTTATTTTTAGTAAATATCTAGTAAATAAAAAAAAATCGTACAGTTCTAATTCAATAAAATAATAAAATTATTAATTATAGTTGTAAATAGAACAATAAAGCAAATTCTTACATATATATGTATATATATATATATATACATATATGTATACATATGTGTGTGTGTGAATATGTATATATATATATATATATATATATATATATGCAGGTAGAGGCAAAAATATATGATGTCAAAGCTGTATACAAAATATATTTAAGAAAAAAAAATCGATAAAAAAATCTAAAGCAATTAGCGGAAAAAAATAAAAGCAATAAAAAAATAATAATAATAATGCTTACCTATAAATTTATACATTTATATATGTACATCCATCCACACGTATATATGGTTAGGTATATTAACGATAATCTCGCATTGTTACTCCGTCTCTCTTTTTTTGTTTCATTCACAAAAATAATATACACTTATGCATCCACTTGGAATAAAATAAAAATACTGAAAAAAAATAATCACTTTTATAACTTTAATAATAAATATATAAATAGATGATGTGTGAATAATTGTTTATACTAGTTAAGTGAATAATTTGTTGGTAGTTTCACCCCGGACGTAAAAATAAATTCAACAACAGCCATAACACCCAAACGTCGCCATCTTGTACTGCCGTTTTGTTTCATTTTTCTTTTGTGGGGGTGCGCTCCTGTTCCAAATCATTCCTTATATTATTATTATTGTTATTATTATTCTAAATATATTTTTAAATAATAATAATAGTATTATTCAGTCCCACTGTTTCCATTTTAACGTGACGAGTGTTAACGCTTGTGCTACACTAGTACAGTGTTGGCAGTTGATTTTGAGTCCGTGTGTGTAACTCACCTCACTATTCAAAATATTGTATCTACGTGCACTTACACTAATATTAGACGAGCAAGTCGCCGTCTGGCGGTTTACAACAACTTAAATAATTATTCAATCCAATCTGGGTATAGTTTCAGTTAATATATAGTTAATTATTCATTATCCGATACAAGATACCAGAGACGTCAAGTGATTAAAGTCTTGTCAAGTCATTGAATTATCAAACATTAAAAATTCATCTGCTGTGTTTTAACCGACCGACATTGTCAGATATAGACACTGGATTTATATTTAGTTTTTACTTTTAATATTTCTTTTTTAATTTACTACAATACAATATTTAGTACACAAGGTAATAAATATATTTCTATTATCAATTATAATTTATTTGTAATTTGTCATTCATTTTTATTATTTTTTTTTAGGCTCCGACTAGTGATCTTTGAACCCGCTGATATTGAAACAAGTGTTTAAAAAAAAGAGGTACGACATTTGTTGAAAAACATATTGTTAATTTTTTTTATTTAGTTGTGCAAAATTGGTTAATTTGTTTGAAAATGAAGTTTGCTGACATTTAAAAATTTTTTTATTGAAAAAATTTCAATTAAACAATTAAAAAAAAAATTGTCACATGTAAAAAAACTTGAAAAACTATAAGTGCAATTTTTTAGAAATATCTTTTTAGTTGTAAATTAATTAATAAAAAAATTAGAAAAATTTAATTATTAATAATTACTAAAAAATCTAATTATTAGAAAAAAGTAGTATGAAAATTAACAATTTAAAAAAAAAATTGTCACATGTAAAAAAACTTGAAAAACTATAAGTGCAATTTTTTAGAAATATCTTTTTAGTTGTAAATTAATTAATAAAAAAATTAGAAAAATTTAATTATTAATAATTACTAAAAAATCTAATTATTAGAAAAAAGTAGTATGAAAATTGAAGGCAAAACTAAAAGTGACAAATGGAAAAGATTTTGATTTTAAAAATAATTATATCGATTATTTTATATTTTTCTTTTATGATTTAATGAGATGAAAGTAAATATCACTGATAAGAAAAATTACTCAATATGATAAAATTCACTGACGTGGAAAATGTAATTATTATTTCATGAAATTACACATTTAAAATTAAAATAACGATAAGTTGTAAAATAATCAATGTCATTCGTATTATAACAATTGTAATGAGTAAATAATATTTTTAATAATAATAATTATTGTAGTAGTTTATGTTAAAAAGATATTTTAATTCAACGTCAAAAAGCATTAAAAATAATTTATGAATGTTTGAAAAAAGTCAAAGACAAAAAAGAGTATTTAATGTCGCTACTAGCAAACAGTAAAAAACAATGCAATACAAGGAAGTTATTTTTTATCCAGGTCGTTGACGACAATGTATTTTTTTAACTGATTAATTATTCTATTTTAAATAATTAAGTATTGACAGTATACATATGATATAGTATTTTAGTTCATTACTTATATTGTGACGTATAAATAAAATCAATCGGAGTTAACAATACTATTCTTTATTTAGGCTCAATTTAATATGAACGTTAAATTTTTAAATTCAAATAAATCAATTTCGAACGACTATAAATCTAATCAATAAACTGAAGAGCAAAATTGAGACTAAGTTATTGGTATTTTTAGTCTTGACAATAGGAAATTAAAATTTATCTAAGGTGTTATAATATTTTTAGATAATTTATTAATCTATATTATTAATATTTATATGATAAAATGGCTTTTTATGGTTAAATTTGCTATCGTTGGAAAAGTCTTGACCTGGGGTTGTGCCTTTTCATGGTTTCATATCATTCTCACCAATAGTCAATTTATGATGATAAGTATTTAGGCTGCATTTGAAAATGCTCTATCTCTAGATACATAATTAAGAAATGACCTTGTATCTCGTGAACTATTTAAATTTTTAAAGATATAAGCTCACCCTGACATAGCACATCAATTTTTACATATATTTTATATATTTATATATATTATATATATGTATATATGAAAAATATATCAAAAATCCATGTGGGTACTCAAATGAAAGTTCTTGATGAGTGTAACACCGGGATGAGCTTATATCTTTAAAAATATTAATAATTAAGAAAAGATCTTGTATCTTGTCAACTAATGACATTTTTAAAGATATATAAGCTCATTTCGATTTTACACTCATCAAGACCTTTCATTTGAGTACCCACATCAATTTTTCATATATTTATATTATATGATATATATGAAAAATATATCAAAATGCATGTGAGTACTCAAATGAAAGCTCTTTATGAGTGTAACATCGGTATGAGCTTATTACTTTAAAAAGGTCAATAGTTAAAAAAGTACAGTGCAATTTAATAAAAATCATTATTTAATAAAGCAAAATTTTATTTATTTATAGTTCACAAGTCTCGGCAGTCACATAGTGACTGCAAGGTTGCTAGTATTATTTAATTGATGTACACAGATCAAATAATAATTACTTTGTCTTTGTCTTTCAATACAGCTAGAGTATTATGTTCATCCAATTTAAAACGGTTTCTAAATTAAACCAGTAAGCTAATTATTATCTCACTTGATAAAGTATTTAAGCTTTAAAAAAATACTAAACTAACACATTAGCAAAATTTTAATTGCAACTTTAGATAAAAATAAAATTCTTTAAAAATATAATTCTAATATAAAAATTTTCCAGATTGGTGAACACGATGTCAAAACTCTGTTTCGACGAACGAGTCGTAGTAGTAACCGGAGCTGGAGCTGGATTGGGAAAAGCCTACGCTTTGCTATTCGCATCAAAAGGTGCCAAAGTGGTAGTTAACGACCTAGGTAGCAGCAGACACGGCGACGGAGCGAGCCGTGTCGCGGACACAGTAGTCTCTGAAATAAAGTCCCAAGGTGGACAAGCGGTCGCAAATTACGACAATGTTTTAGACGGCGACAAAATAATAAAGACGGCAATTGACAACTTTGGTCGTATCGACGTACTGGTGAACAATGCCGGAATCCTCCGTGATAAATCATTCGCCCGCATGTCAGAAGATGACTGGGACATAATACAAAATGTCCATGTAAAAGGCGCAATGCGTGCAACAAAAGCCGCCTGGCCATACTTCAAGCAGCAGAAGTACGGCAGGATAATATTTACATCAAGTAACAGCGGGCTTTACGGTAACTTCGGGCAAGCTAATTACAGCTCTGCTAAAATGGCACTTGTCGGTCTAGCAAACACTCTTGCAATTGAAGGACAGTCCAGTGGAATAAACACAAACGTTATTGTCCCAACAGCTGGTTCACGTTTGACCGAAGACATAGTCCCGGCGGATTTCTACAATCAGTTGAAGCCTGAGTTGATAGCGCCAGTGGTAGCTTGGCTCTGTCATGAAGATTGCACCGAGAATGGCTCGATTATTGAATCAGCCCTCGGCTGGGCTGGTAAGTGTCACCTAATACGTTCCAATGGTAGTATTTTACGTAAGAGTCTTAAAGATTCACTGACACCTGAGACTGTCCGTGATAACTGGGATCAAGTTACTGATATGTCTACCGCTAAACGCTGCGAGTCTATCGCTGAGGCTACCGGTGAGTTGATGAACGTAATTGAGCAACTTTCTAGCAGTAAAACTAGTGATTCATCATCCTCGAGGTCTTTTGATCCTAAGTACACGATCAAGTACACTTATGACGTAAAAGACGCGATTCTTTATGCACTGGGTGTTGGAGCCACCACCAAGAATCCAGATGACTTTCAGTATTTATATGAAAATCACGAAAATTTCTCGGTGGTGCCTAGTTACTTTGTTATATTTGGACCACTAGGAGCTCTTGGTTCTGATATGCTTGTCACGGCGCTTCCTAACTTGGGTGAAATAAATATCGCGGGGATTTTACACGGCGAACAGTATTTGAAAGTCCTGAAAAAAATTCCTACTGAAGCAAATGTTGAAACGCGCTTCAGGATCCAAGAAACGCTGGACAAGGAAAAAATGGCTGTAATTTTGATAGAGCATGAAACTATTGATGTAAAAAGTGGAGAAAAGCTAGCAGTTGGACAGATGGCTGGGGTCATTAAGGGTGCTGGAGGCTTTGGAGGACCTAGGAACTCGGACCACGAGGTCCCGTTGATAGACGCGCCGAAAAGAAATCCGGATATTTCTGTTACTCAGCAGACTTGTGTAGATCAGGCTGCTATTTATCGGCTGGCTAGTGGTGACATGAACCCACTGCATATTGATGCTAATATTTCGGTAATGGGTGGCTTTGAGAGGCCTATTCTTCATGGACTTTGCTCGCTTGGGTTCGCCACCAGACATATTCTTCAAACTTTTGCTCGCGGTGATACTGAGCTGTTTGATTGTGTTAAAGCCAGGTTCGTTAAACCAGTTATTCCTGGACAGACTCTGCGCACTGATATGTGGAGAGAAGGCAAGCGGATTCATTTTCAGACTATTGTTGTTGAAAATAATTCACCTGTTATCTCCGGGGCTTATATTGATCTTAAGGATGTCAAGTTGGGGAATCAGACTTCTAAACTTTAGATTATTGGAAGGACTAATTTTTGTTTTTGTGATATAAGGGCTTACGCAAGGGTATTTAGAATTTTTTATAACGGCGAAGGGTTATTAGAAGTTGATATTTATTAGACTTTTTAGAACAATTAGAAAATTTTTTTTTACTTTAATAATTTTTTTTAATTTGTAAAAATCAATCATTGTCTTTCTCTTTTTACACTATAAAGAAAATTTTCTTGATACAAGAATCCATGTTCTTGAAAATTTTCAAAAATATATATTCTTAGCTCAAGAACTTGTTAAATTGATTGAAATAATTTTTACTTAATTTAAATAAAGCTATTCTCTTGCTTATCTATTATCCAAAGATAAATATTGATGTTCTTCTCTTCAGAAATTATCAATTAATAATAATAATAGAATATTTGATCGTCATTGAATTTCTCGAACCAAGAAATTGTTAATTGAGTAAAAGTATTTTTTTTTTTTCTTCAGTGTAAAAAATATAATTGTTCATATTAAATAGAAAGTATTAGATACTAATGAAAATTAATTTTTTTATGATGCTATAAATCGTAGAACATAAATTTGACGTTAACTGATATAAATATGACATTAAAGTTAGCAGTTACTTGATAATTTTTAATTTTTTCTGAAAAATTATTTTTTAAAAAATTGCATTTATAATTTTTTTTAAATTTCTACATGTCAATATTTTTTTCTTATTCTTTTTGTCATAATTTATTTGTTAAAAAAAATTCTAAAAATTAAATATCTGCTAAGTTAATTATCATGATATAAATTAGTTTTATGTTCAAAATTTTTTTTATACAGTTTAATAGTCATGATAAATATTTAATAATATTTTTTTTAACTATCAGTTGAAGTTAATTAAATTTTTTTAATTTTTATTTGCTCCAAATTTTAAATGTTATTTAAAAAAAATTATAATTTATAATTTTAAAATATTAACTACAATTATCAGCTGCAATTAGATAAAAATTAATAACAATTTTATAATTAAAATGAATAAAAAATGTCTGGTAGCCTTCCAAAGTATTTTTAAAACATAAAAAAAAAAAAAAAAATTTAATTGACAAAATAAACATTACAATTTTTTTATCTCTTATTTTATTTTAATTATTTTAATTGAAATAAAAAAAAAAAAATCAACTCTAATAAATTAATAAATATAATTTTTGAATTATAAATTTTAAGATAATTGATTTTTTGAGAACATTTTATTTTTTTAAATTAATTAGAATAAAATTGCAAGTGTCATACAATTAAGCCCGTGTCAATAACTGGGTCTTTTACCTTATAAATATTTTTATACAAATCGTTACTAAGTTTATATTGTTGATATACTTTTATACTGTTAAAATAAAAAAAAAAGTTATTTTTCAATTTTATTTATTCATTAACTTAACTAAATAATTTAATTATTTACAAATTCAATTTAATTTTAACACAATAATCAATTATTTATAAATTGACAAGCTAACTGTAAAAAATCTGCAGGTTTTTCCGATTGTACCCAGTGACCAGCACCTTCAACATACTTAATATCAACCTTGGGAAAAAGTTTTTTAATCTTGTCTTCATCTTCTCGCTTGACGTAATCACTGTTGCCACCAGCGATGAACAAAGTTTGTCCGTCGAAAACTTTGTTCTTCAAACTTGGAACCAGTTCCGGAAACCTAGCAATGTTGTTAGAAAAATTATCTGCAATAACATTTAAGTTAACTCTCCACTTGTAGACTCCAGGAGTAACTTCCATGACATTGGTCACCAAAAACTGTCTCAAGGACAGTGCGTAGATAGTTTTAGCTAGTTGTTGATCGATACCTTTCCTAGCTTCAGACAGAGTCTTGTAATTATTGAAATCGATAGCTTTCAACGCACCAATAATCCCAGTCATCTCGTAGAGACTCGGGCTGGTTTTTACCGGTGACATGTCTACGACGATCAGTTTGTCTATCAGCTCCGGATAATTCAACGCCGTCAGCATCATGACAGCACCTCCCATGCTGTGGCCAATGCAGACTGATTTACAAAAATTCAAATCTCTCATCAAAGCTTTCACGTCTCCAGCCATCGCTGGGTAGTTCATTTCACTAGAATGCGGAGACTCGCCATGATTTCTAGCGTCAACAGTTATCACTTGCCTCTTAGTCTGCTGGTTTATCGCCTTGGCAAGTGTATTCCAATTATTCTTGGAGCCAAATAATCCGTGCATTATTATAACTGGTGGTTTATCAGACTTTGAGGCATCATACGACGCGTATGATAATTTTACATCACTATTTAAGTAATTACTGACATGCAATTCTCGTGTCAGTGATTTTTTTAAGCGTTCAAATATTATTTTGTTACTTACTCGTTTTAACATTTTTTCCAATTGCAGTTCGATGATTTTTTGAATATTTAGAGGTTATAATTTATTCGCCTTACATTTATCATTTATTTTACTGAAAAAATAAAAATTATACTCTAGATAATTTAATTATTATAGTAGTTAAATAATAATATATTTAAGATGAAATTTTTTATTCTTCAGATAAAGTTGATAACATTTTTAAAAAACGAATCAAAACACTTATGTCATTTATTTTTAAGTCACACGTTATGTCATGTGATATTTCTTATATTTCTTACTATTATTAGTCGTATTAAAACGACCGCAACGCCATCACAAATTTTTTAAATTTTGTAATAAGTACTGAAATTAGTTGACAGCTGTCAATTTTTTTATAAAAATCGATTTAGCATATATTTAATTAATTTAATAATTTAGGGCCAGTTTTTCAATCTGAGATAAAATTTTATCCGAGATAAAAGTACTGCCAATATTTATTATAATAATAAAAACAAATAATTCAGCACAGTGATATTGCGTACAAGTAGTTCTCCCTGAATTCAGTCACTTATTTTTAATTAAAGTAAATAAACATTTAGCCGCATGTCACAAAAATATCAGTCTCCAACTGTGACAACTTGCTGATTGTAAATAAATAAAATAAAAAATAGAAAAACGGATGACCCTGAAGGCCATCCCTGCAACTTCCCGCTAATTTCATATCCAAGGGCTTGAAATTGCACTTGTAACGTTATCGAGCTCTTCGAGCTCCAAATTACAATTTATGTGTTATTTTGAGCTCTCTGAGCTCAAAGTGGTCGCTGTTCTATGCTTTTGAGCTCTTCGAGCTCATATCTTGCGTTTGACATATCTATTATTAATCTATAATTGTGTGAATTAATTTAAAATAATTTAAATAACACAATAAGAGGTTATTATTATTTTTATGACATATTTATTTTTTATTTAAATAATGACCAAATTCATGGCGAACTAACTGAGAGCAATATCACGTCGCTAAATTATTTATTTTTTTTTTTTATTATATTAACAGTACTTTTATCTCGGATAAAATTTTATCCCGGATTGAAAAACTGGCCCTTAAAGATTTTATGAAAATTAACTTAGCCGACATCTAAAAATTTTTAGAAGTTTTTTTAATTGAAAAATTATTACAAAAAAATAAAGAAAAATTTTCATTTGTAAAAAACTTGAAGAACTATAAATGCAATTTTTTTAAAAAACATTTTTCAGTTCTGGTTTAATAAAAGAAAAAAAAAATCAAAAAATTAATAATATTAAAGTTAGGAGTCACTTGTTTATTTTTTAATTTTTTTTAACAAATAAATTTGCTCCAAAAAATTATTTAAAAAAATTTATAATGTATAGGAGGTACAGTAATAGGAAAAAAAAAGATTTTTATAGCAAAATATGCGGATGATGCGGCGATAATAGCGGATACAGCCAGTGGATTAAGAGATATGTTAAAAGAAATAGAAAAATATGTGGGGAAAAAACAACTTGGTGGTAAATGTAAAAAAAAAAAACAAAAATATTGATCTTCAGAGGAGGGGGAAGAGGCAAAAAAGAATCATGGAAAATACAAAGGAGAGCAACTAGAAATGGTGAAAAACTTTGAATATTTAGGATACAGATTCACGACAAAAAACTCACCGGAGATGCACATAAGCGAATTAGTGAATAAGGCAAATAAAATTGCTAACGCGACATGGGGAGTAATCAAAAGAACAGAGAGGAACAATGCAAGAGACAGAATATATTTATATAACTCGTTGGTAAAAGCAGGATGTCTATATGGGGTGGAAATTTGGGGATGGGATGAGCCAAAGAAAATCAAGACATTTTACAACAGGATAAACAGGATGTCATTGGGGGTGGCAAGAAATACACCGGCGTATATAATCAGACAAGAAGTGGGAATTGAACACATGGAGTACATAATAAAGGAACGAGCCTTGAGATTTCTGGAAGATGTAGTCAGGATGGACGATGACAGGTGGACAAAAATATGCATAAAAAATGAGATGAGAGAGATAATGAACAAGAATCCAACAAAGTGGGGAAAAACAATAGAAAAATTTTTACAAAAAATAGGAATTGGAGAACTACCGAAAATGATTTATGTGGCTTGCAGCAGTGACGACGTGGAGGAAAAAATAAAAAGCGGATTAGAAAATTATAAGTGGATGTTGGATGAAAAAGAGGAGGTACTAATAAAAAAAATCCACATACAACGAGCTATATAAAAATATAAAAACGGAGGAAAGCAACAACTATTGGAAAAGAGACAACATAAGAAGTGAAGATAAAGAAACATGGGCTAGATTACGATGCGGTAATATTTGGAGGGACGGAAAAAAAAGGGCAAAATAACTGGGGGTGCAGAATTTGTGAAAAAGAGCAAGAAACGATTATTCACATTATAAAGTGCAAGGAAATTCATGAAAAAATAACAGTGGAAGGCAAACAAGCAAAAAATAAATGGCTAGAAGAGGTAATAAATAACGATGTGTCCAGTGAATTAATGATAGAAACTTTAAAAGGGGAGATAAAAAAAGACTTGTGTACATTTATAAGAGATGTAGAAAGAGTGTTTAAAGAAAAGGCACTAAATAACAAAAATTGTCAAGGCGCTGCGGACATATATAATGTATACTAAAAAATGCAAAATTAATTATAAGAGTAAGAACAGAAATGTGATACTAGTAATTTTGTATAGTATAAAATTATTATTTGTTATAAAAGCTGTAAGGAGTGTGATCCCTGACGGGTCCAAAGTGCGGTAGAGTACGGTAATGTACGGCAAATTTACGGTAGGGTACGGTACGTACAATGATTTACCGTAATACAGTATGACACCGTAAATTACGGAGATTGTACGGAAAAGTACCGTGATTGTACAGTAATTTACCGTTATTGTACGATAAGATACCGTGATTGTATGGTAAAATACCGTAATTGTTAGTAAAATACTCCAATTATCCGATAAATAAAGTACTGTTTTTGTACGCTAAAGTACCATAATTGTACGGTAATTTACCGTAATTAAACGGTAACTTATCGCTAAAATAAGGTATATTTGACGGTAGGTTACCATTGGAATACGGTAGTGCGGAAAGTTCAGAAGTATATATTCTACCGTATTTTCACCGTACACTACCGTAGTTGTACCGTAATTTTACCGTTCTATACCGTATTTTCACCGTTCTTTACTGTACGTTACGGTGTTTTACGGTTTCTACCGTGCAAATAGAATGCTACTGTAATCTACGGTGGCCATACGGTATATCGACCGTATTTTTACCGTTTAATACCGTAATTTTACGGTATTTCAGATCCACCAGGGATATACTAGATTAAATCAAAGATAATTGTAAGTGGATGTAATAAAATAAAATGTAGTGTAGAGAGTGGTGTGATAAACTAAGAGCGTACCAAAGAAAAATGAGTAAAAAGCAATTATTTTTGTAAATGTAATATGGTAACAGTTTTGTAAAACACTAAATAAATATGGTGATACAAATAAAATTATATTTTATTCTATTTTAAAAAATTGGTTTTTTAATTTTTTAAAATTTCTAGTTGTCAATTTTTTTTTTGCCATAATTTATTTGTTATAAAAATTTTTAAAATTAGGTATCAATTATCTAATAAATTAATTTTCATAAAAATTAAAAAAACGTCGGCTAACTTTAGTATTATTAAAAATCTTATAACAAATAAATTATGGCAAAAAATAATTAAAAAAAAAGTTGACATGAAATATTTAAAAATAAAAAATGCAATTTTTTAAAAATTATATTTTTTGAAAAAAATTTTTTTATTAACTAAAAATTAAAAAATTGTTAGAAGACTGTTACCTTTAATTTCATATTTTTCTTTATTTTTTATAACAATCAATTACAATAAAAAAAAAAATGCTTTAAAAAATTTCCACTGATAATTTTTTTATACAATTTTATTACTAAAAAATTAAAAAAAAATTTCTAATGTCAGTTAACTTCAGTGTGATTAAAATTTCTGAATTAAAAAAAAATGTCACATGTCTAGAGGCTCTATTATATATATATATGTATACAATTGTATAAAATACATGCTTATATCAACTATTTTCTGACACGTATTTACTTTATACGTCTATATTTATTCCAGCTAATGGTTCATGTTCGTATTAGAGGTTCTACGACTTCGACTAAACTACTTTCTTCGTTTTATTTGTCAAAAAAATTATTTACAACATTTGCGATGGCTAAAAAAACCGCTATTTTGCTGATGGCTGATGGAGCCGAGGAAATGGAAGCTGTGATAACTGCTGATGTCTTAAGACGTGCTGGGGTAAGTTAAGGTTATGATTTATCGCCATAATAGATATCATTTATGATAAAATAATTATAATTGAATAATTTCTTTTCTTTAGATTGATGTAACAATAGCCAGCATAACAGGAAATGACTGTATTAAATGCAGTCGGGATGTCAAAATTTGTGCTGATACTCAGCTGGATGCTGTGAAAAATAACAGTTTCGATGCTGTTATTCTACCTGGTGGTTTAGGTGGTTCAAAAGCTCTTGCCAGTGTAAGTTTATTTAATTATAGTTTACCTATATATTATTTTCTTGGGATTTGTAAATTGTTGAGAAGGTTAATAATTAGCAAGAGTAATTATTAAAATTCTACTGGCAAACTTGGTAAGGTATTAGCTGGCTATTTGATGTTTTGAAGTGTAACTATTTATTGTAAAAAAAAAAAAATATTTATTTTTAAACCGATAAGTACACTAAGAAAAAATTAATTTTGAAAAAAATGAACAATATTGTAAGAAGAAATTAGTTTATTCAAAATTTTAAATCATTTTATTTCTTAGCTGAAGAAATAAAAATTTTTCTTAGTAACTTTTTTGTTGAAAAAAAAAAAATGACATTAAAGTTAGCAGTCCCTTGAAAATTTTTTGATTTTTTTTTTTTAATAAATAAATTTGCTCCGAAAAATTATTTCTAAAAAATTGGATTTTTTATTTTTTTAATTTTCTAAATGTCAATTTTTTTTTTTTTTTCATTTTTTTTTTGACATAATTTATTTATTTAAAAAATTCTTTAAATCATAAAATGTCTGCTAAATTAATTTTTATTGAAAAAAAGTTTTCATGATCTGTGAAAAAACGATTTTAAATAAATATTGCGAGAAGTTTTCATTTTTTCAGCTAAGAAAACGCTAATTTTTTTTCAAAAGAAATTTTTTCTCTCAATTTCATAGTAAATTTTTTTTTTGTACTTCACATAATTTATTTTAACTTATTTTATTCGTTCTTAAAATAAAAAAAAAAATTTTATGGTATATATAAATTATATTTGTTGAATATTATCCATTAAGAATTTTTAAATGAATTCTGAATTGTTTTTTTAATTTGTATTCAACTATTGCTTTAAGATGCAATATTTTTTAATATCTACTTATTTCTAAAGTTAATGACTCCTATAATTTATCAATAAAATTCATTGTATATTTTAGTCCAAAGAAGTTGGAGAATTGCTGAAAAAACAAGAAAGTGAAGGAAGAGTTATTGCTGCTATTTGCGCAGCACCAACAGCTTTAAAAGCTCATGGTATTGCTCCAGGAAAGCAAGTAACATCTTACCCGGCAATGAAAGACCAGTTGGTTAATTATTATAAATACTTGGAAGACATTGTCGTAACTGATGGTGAGAATTATTTAATTATTCTGGTAAATAAGTCATCAATTTTATTTCATCCATTTTATTTGTAATTATTGTTTCTGCAGGGAACATTATCACGAGCAGAGGACCGGCGACTGCGTATGCCTTTGGATTAGCAATTGTTGAAAAGTTGTTAAATAAGGAAGCAGCTCTTCCTGTAGCCAAAGGAATGCTTTATGAAAATTATAAGTAAATGCTTTTTGTAGAATTTTTTGCAAATAATAAATACAATCTCAAACCAATTAATTAATAATTGTGTATCAATTTTATAAATAGCTCATTAAAATCTTTAAAATTTAGTTATATTACAACTAGCAACCTGCTGTAAGTATGTGACTGCCGAGATTTACGGATTATGAATAAGAACACATAAGTATACTTGGTGTGCGTCATTGTGTACTTCAAATTTTTTTTGTGTTCTAGTAGATATATTTTACGAATTTCATAAAAAGTAAAATATTTTGTAACCACGCACACTAAATACGTTCCAAAATTTTTTCTTTTAATTTTTAAATTTACAACCAAATTTTTTTTTTTTATTTCAAAAAATCAAAAAAAAATTTTCCTCGAATTAAAAATTTGTTTTGGACTTGGAAAAAAAATTGAATTTATAAAAAAAAAATTTTAATTTTGAGAAAATTTTTTTTTTTATAATTTCTCCACGTTAAATTGGTTTTAATATTTTTTCAGCGATAGTGATTTTAATTTTGAATAATTATGAGAGTAAGGAAAATTTTGCGGTGAACATATTATTATTTTAAAAGTAATTTTATTATTAAATTTGGTACTCTCAAAATTTTATGATAAATTTTTGAAGCGATTTTGAATATTTTATAGGTTTTATGAATTTGTACGGCCAAATCTTTCATTAAATTATTTGTAATTGATCCTGTCATAAAATCAACTACATAATTTTTCAATATTTATTTAACAAGCACCCTAACTATGTATAGTGTAATTTAATAAGTAATATCAAAAAATCATTAAGTCAAAATTTTCTTATTCATAATCCGTAAATCTCGGTAATCACACAGTGACTGGAAGTTACTAGTTACAATTAATATTTTATTTCTAGAATGAGAAAATTTTAGTACCTAATAACAATATTTGTCGACGATTTTAAAAATAATGTGTAACGACAAATAAAAAATTAAGAATCCAGTTAGTGATAATAGAATACACATGATGATTCTACTCTGCAATTTTTAATATATATACTAACAAAATATCGTGATGAATCATTGCCAGTACTCTATTGCAATAATTAAAGTAATTGCTGGTATACTTTTGATAATATTGATAGTAAATTCTTGAAGCTTGTCGATATTTCTGTCAAACACAAAAATACTTATAAATATAGTGTTTCACACTATTGTAAAATAGCTTTTCAATCCTTGATCGAGTAGCTTGATTAAATAACGTGTTTTTTATTTATTATCAAAAAATTTTTGACTTTTCTTTACATTAATATGAATTCATCATCCATACAAAGTACGGATATATTTATACCTGATTATATATGGCTCGATATTTTTAAACATGTTAGCCCGTTAAAGTTAGCGGTTCTGCGTTGGACCAGTAAACCCTTCAAAAATATTATTGAAGAAATGATTGAGAACAACTATACATGGAAAAATTTGTGTTCGACCAATAGTATAAAACCCTGGATTTGGAAGATCCAAGAAAAACTATTTTCTTACGTAAAGAAGTACAGTCCAAAGGAATTGGATAAAAATTGGAAGGATGTTTTACATTCTTATGGATATTGGCGAGTATATTCAAAACGTAGTTTTAAATTCATCACTTTTAATCTTCGCGACAATTTAGTTAATTATAATCATATAACATGCAGTGACGCATTTGGTAAGCAAGTTATTCATGTCATATAGTTACATTTGTACTGGTTAAATTAGTTCAGTGATTTAAATTTAAATGTTTTTATTTTTTATTAAAGGTGATTATTTTGCTATTGCTTCTGACCGCGGAGATATATTCTTATTTACAATTGAAAATGACAGAATATATCTACTGCATACTTTCGCTGGTAATCAATATGAGATTTATCGTCAATTGAAATTTTGGAATGCAGGTAAAATAAAACTTTCATTCATGCAATTTTCATCAAAATTATGTCTAATCAGATATGAGTGTAATTGTAGCAGACCGACTGCCCAATTTCAAAACACAGTTGTTACGTCCCGGTTTCCTCACAGGTTTGTAGGTAGCCGCCCGAGAAAAAATATTTATATATAATTATATATATTTATATATAAATTGGTTATATATGATTATATATGAAAAATGGCCAAATATAATCATATCTAATTATATATAATTATGTATAATTATATATAACTATATATAACAATATTTAATTATAGATTTATTACATCTAATTAATTATTGGGTTAATTTTACGGATAGAGTATTTAATATGGTCCTACGCAATTCTGTATAACTGATCAAAATGCAAAAAAAATATCTAGATCTAATTTTATGGCTATAACACCAGCGGTCACCCATCCAACTAATAACCCTACTCAATGCTGCTTAACTTTGGTGATCTCCATGCGTCTTGAAGTCTCTGTCTGCTGTGCTGCTATCTTAGACAATAATGATTCTATGATTCTATACTTAATGTATCATATGAGTTTATCATAAATATAATATAAAAATTGATTTATAATATATTTGGATAGTCATAATTCATAAATAATTTATTTATCTTACCGAATTTCATCATAATATAACACTTATTTAAATAATAAAATAAATAATGATCTTACTATTA